AGCCTTTAAAGTTGTGTTTGCCATCTGTAATGTTTTAAGTTCTCACTGTCTCCCTTGAAACTTGTGCAAAAAGGTCACCCAAATGTCTTTCTCTTTCTTTAGTGGGAACTTGTTTGTGGTGAGGTCACCCAGATAACTTGCACCGGACAGCCAAAACGGTTACAGCCAATTGTCCAGCTCAGCAGATTATTCCCCCCGCAGCAGAACACTGAGGTAAGGACACAGGTTCAGGAGTGAACGGCTGATCGCTTATCTTTCACACCACTTTACTTCCCCATTGCTGCAATAAATCAGGAACGGTGGCCAAAGACACGCCTCCTTTTTCAGGTTTCATGTGTTTCTACCGTTTGCCAGTGCAAGAGCTTCCAAGAACAGTAACGTTTATCTCGATAACATCACTTCATCAGCATAACTATTCTTAAAAGTGGTTTCATGTTAATTATGAGCCGATGTATTTGCTCGATAAAGAGACTATAGGAAAACAGAAGGGTATTTGTTGGAAAGATTCCAGTCGTGATATAATCAAGTTCATTTGTTTAAAGTTTTACCAGCCGTTGGACTATAAACTGAAGCGATGCTAATTAAAGACCAACTGACATAAAGACACCAGTATCACTGTTCATCCAGAGACATGTTTATTTCAGCTCATTTATTTTCAGCTACATGTTATTTATTAAGTGGGTGAATCGTGAAACCTGTCAAGAGTTATATTTCTCTCTAAAACCAAAAGAAAAAGAAATAAGAAATGAAAGCAGCAAAGCCTATTAGGACCATTAAGATTTTTTTTTGCATTGTGCTATCATGATTAATTTTCCTGAAAATTAAACACTCCCCCACAATTCTCATAAGTGTAATGTCAGAAGAAAAATCCCTTTCTTATTATCGTAATGTAAATATATATATATTTGCAGCTTTTGATTTACATCATTGCTTTCGGAGAATTAATAAAAAACTCACTGTATTACTGTAAATGAGAATCTAATTAGAAGCAACATTAATAATAATGGAAATTATTCTTTCTGGAAAAAAAGTAAAAAGTAAATAGATGCATTATGATAAAGAGATTTTTCGAGGAATTAGGCTCAAAATTAGGCTTTGTTATCTTTATGCAAAAAAAAAATATATATATATATTTATTTTTTTATTTTTTCCTATCGATTTTGGGGTAAAATGTGATGGAGTGTGATGTGATATACAGTCAAACCCAAAATTATTCAGACACCAGATATAATTTTTGATATTTTTTTACTAGTGGGTGCAGGACACTATAGTCCATTTATGTAAGGGAAGATAACAAAACAAAGTAAACTGTGACAAATTATACCCAAAAATTCTTCATACAGTGGACTACCAGTAAAATTTATAAAAATTAGGGATAAAAAATTATTCAGACACTTTGACCTGACCATGTTTTGCTTAAGTGTTATCTGACATTATCAAAATGAATTTGTTCTGACAGTTTAACTCTGAGTTCATGTCATATTGTATTACCATTTTCTAAGTGAATAAACTGTGATAATGTGTGAAATGTTGAAGGTGTCTGAATAAATGTTGGTTTGACTGTACATATATATATATATATTTATTTATTTAAGGATTTAAGATTTATCAAATGACTTCAGGTGGAAAAATTGAGAATTTATTGCTGTTTTTTTTTCCCCTTCACTTTTGTCTCCAGCAGCTTAAACTTGATCTCTTATTTAGTAAACACTGGAGGTTTTACTCAAAGTTATGAATAGAGCTTGTGTCTTTTCTTTCTTACTTACTTTTTTTTTTTTTTTTTACAGAACTGTTAGGTATTATGTTTCTTTTATTATTTCAGCGTGTATGGGGTTGTAAACATCAAACTCAACAGCACCTTCTGAGAATGATTTTCCCAACTAAATAGCAAACCAAATGTTTTGTTGCTGTTCTGGAGGCAACAAAAAGTGTTTTGATGAACAGAGTGCTTTCAACTCGTAGAAAGGTCTTGTTTATGTTTTGCAAGCAACCTTGAGCAGTAGATTTTCTCTGGGTTATTGTGAGTGGCTTTTAAATAACAGGAGAGGGAAATGCTGTTGTGGACAGCAAAGTGAGTGAGGAAAGAATGACAATGTATTCAGTTATGGAGAGTGTATGGCCAGTCTGCATCGAAACTTATGGAATTTGGCTCAAGGTTTTTACCAAACGTGGAGTATGTTTTGAGTGATTATTGGAACAGCATGTTTAGCCTTGTACTTCAATGGAGGTTTTGTCCAGTCAGATTGTGGTTTAGCTGACACCTGACTCTTGGTTTGTGTGTGTGTGTGTGTTTGCTGGCAGGCTCAAGTCTATTTTCTTGTCTGTTGGAGTTTAAGAGGACACATCAACTGACTGAACAGGTGCTGTATCATACACCAGACAGATCCACACACACACACACACACACACACACACACACACGAAATACATGAAACCCAGACACACTGACCTAAATGAATCAAAAATATTAAACATATGTTAATATAAATCCAAACAAAAATAATTTAGTTTTTTTTAGGAATTCATAGAGCTTTAAAAGAGTAGATCAGTAAAAATGAAAATGCTGTCATCATTTATTCACCCTTTTCGGTCTGACTTACTTTCACACATGGAACACAAAAGAGGACATTTGAAAGAATGTGCAGGCCGCTCTTCTCCATGCAGTCACAGAGAATGGAGACTGGAGCTTTCAAGCTTCAAAAAGGATGTGAAAGCCATAATTATCATAAAAGTAGTTCAAATGACAAATGGCTGCGATAAATCCCAAGAAATCATACGATAGCTATTTGTGTGAAATCATACGATAGCTATTTGTGTGAAAAAGACCAACATTTAAGTTGCTATTCAATGAAAATGTTGACACATACCTGACTTCTGAATGCATGAAACGAGTAACAATGGTGGATTCATGAATTACTCATTCTTGTGCATCTGACCTTCTACAATGAATCAGTTGATTTACATCACAAAACTGCAAGATATGTGTCACAAATGAAACTGAGCTAATTCTAGAGTCATTGATCCGTTTGCAGCAGTTAACAGTAATATCAGTGAATAACAACTTATATCTCTGTCTGCTCCTCAAACAAAGCTATCATATTACCTCAGAGGACTTACATAATAGCACACGTGTTGTATGGTTCACTTTTATGGTGTTTTTGTGTCCTTTTTAAAGCTTATAAGGTCCAGTACCCATTCATTTCATTGAAAAGAATGACCCAGGCTTTAAAAAGATTCTCATATATATATATATTGTACTTGCAGATAATATACCATCAATAACAGCCACTTAAGTGCACTTAAAGAGAATATACTTTTATGACTGTTATGTAACAAACCTACGTACACATTTAGAATGTAATTGTTAAAATGTAAAATTAAATGTTTTATTTTAACATACATTATAATTATATAATATACATTAAAGTATTATTATGTTTGGTTTAATATTTTTTGTTGTGCTTTAAAGAAGTGCAGTTATTTTGATGTGTTGACTAACAAACTAAAGCCCATTTAAAGTACTTGGTAATTTTAACTGTGGTGTGTTGTTCGATATTACATTTAAAGTTAATATATTTTAAATGTACCAAATTGCAACTTGATCATTATAAATGTGTAATTAGGCTACACATATATTTTAATATATGACATACAAGTTTTAATAGAAATTATGTTTAAGTACATTTTACTTTACCGAAAATGCTTGTCAGTAAATTTGGAATTACACTTTAACCATTTCCGAACAGTTGATGGGCACCATTTACTTCCATAGTAGGAAAAAAAATATATACTATGGAAGTCAATGGTGCCCATCAACTGTTTGGATACTAACATTTTTCAAAATATTTTCTTTTGTGTTTAACAGAAGAAAGAAACCCATACAGGTTTGGAATAAGTGAAGGGTGAGTAAATGATGATAGAATTTTCATTCTGGAAGTGAACTACTTCTTTAAGTGGTTTAAAGTCCCACTAAAGTTTGGCTAATTGCATTTGATGTAAATGTAAACTAGAATACATTTCCATTTAATTACAATTAACATGCAATTAAATATCCAAAAACATTATATTCAGTTTGCACTTAAAGTATATTATTCCCCTAAGTACTCTTTTTTTTTTTTAAGTAGGCTATGATTAAATGTATACTTTTTCCACAAGGGAGATTTTTCATCTTGGGTGAACTAATCCTTTAATAAACATATATGCAAGAGAAAGACAGAGTGAGAGTGCTGAAAGGAGGAGAAAGAGAGAAGTGTTTCTCTTGGACTCCAAACAATTATTGTTTTCACAATTGCAGTCAGCAGGGCATCAGTGTTGGAGATGGAGAAAGCGGATCACTCCAGCCGTTCATCATGTGCTCACTTAATGGCTGCCTTTCCAGTGTCTCTCCCTTAACTGTCTCAACCATATGGATTTGAGGACAAAGACATATTACGTTTATGCTAATTACAACAGCCATGCAGACAAAGGACTGCAAAGATGTACCTGTACCATAATAAAGAGACTGTGAATGCCATGGCACAAAAATGAAAAGCCCGATGAGGGGAGGGTGGGCATGTGAGCGTGTTTATGTGTCTGTCAGAGGAGAATGTGACATTTGAAGGATGAGAGACCCTTTTCATACTGGAAATGGGAAATTTAGAAGCCATCCTCATTTCATTTATGCACTTCACAGGGAACAGAGAGACAGAAAGAAAGAGCAGCAACAAGGAAGTTTGGAAGGGAGACAGAGAGGCAAGCCAGATAGCAAAAAGTGGAGGAAAAAATAGAGCATAAATTAAGGTGGGCGAAATGCATTGCTACTGTTCTCGTTCTCATACAATCTCCTGTTTATTAATCAATAGTACCACTGTTACTCCCCAGTGGAGACAAGTATAACGGAATGTTAAGTCAGGGTTTTCAGGGGACACGCCACACCAAAAACTTCCCAGCATCCCTTCTGCTTAGCAAATGATGACGCATCATTCTGCTGACACAAGTCAGCTGATTGCTGTGTCACGGCAATGGTTTTAGGCGAGTGGCAGCACTCTGGCTACAGACGTAGAGTCTTTTTTTCCTCCGAGACGCACTGCAGCACAGCCAGACGACTAGAGTGGAGGCACAGGAGCTCACAGCTGCAGTCAACTGGCTTGTTTCGGGGAGGCAGAGGAGCCGAGCACTTCCTCTCAAAATACCGTCGCTCTGCTCCTTTTTGCTGTTGAGGGATCATTTTCATCGGGGAAGAGCATTCGAAGAGAGTAGAGCCAAAAAAAGAAGACAAACTCTGAGACAAACAACTTGGAATTAACGTTGGTCTCATATGTTGACAGAAAATTTGGATAAGCGAGCCCGGATCGTGATTTTTTTGGGGGGCTGCTGCCGCCATCGTCTACAAGTACCAGACCAGGTTCCCAGACTGAGAAGTCGCCGATAAAAAGCTTGGATTCCAGTGCATCACCTGTCCGTCCCATCGTAAACTCGTCCCACCCGAGACGTCCAGTCAGCCGGGGCCCATCTGCATTCCCATTCGCAGTGACTGGCCAAAGTGGCCGCTCCACTCCAAGGTTAAGGTGGCTTTCGGTCCTAGACTTAGTCCTTGTCCAGAGGGCAGGGCAGAGCCGAACAGAAACAGCCGAGCTCAGCCAGACAGACGCGGTGACCTAAATCAGCCCCAGTCATGTCTGGACACAGCCAGAGCGAAGCAGACGGAGAGGAAGACAGAGCGAGAGAGAGAGAGCGAGAGCGACCCACACGTACTGACTCGAACATATACTCGCACTACGGTAGGTTTAGACGACTGCAATTAGCCCCTAAATTTGTTTCCCATCCGTTTGCGTTCAGTTCTTGCTGATGCTGTGCTTAGTTGAGATTAGCTTGTCTGTGGCTGTGCTTCTATCTTTGTGCCATAGGGATGGAGAGAAATGAAGGAGGCTGTAAGGGGAGGGGGAGGCAGAGTTGTCTCTCTCTCCCTCTCTCGCTCTTTTTTCGCCACCGCTTTATTTTGTTCCAATTGCTGGTGTTTATATTCACCGTATGTCTGCGCTGATCTCCACCATTGCTGCACATCGAAACGTAGAGTCGGTGTCCCCCTCACCTCCCCCGTTTGCACTGTTGGGTCCAGGTAAGGCATTCACTTATTCATCTTCGACAGCCAAATATGCGAAACCCCTTAGTCTGAGTGCGTGAGGGTGGGCGGTTTTGTGCGTTACGTTTATTTGTTTTTGGTGAATCCGATGCGCGTTAAAACCCAAGATCAAGAACAAGATCACATCCCCCTCCTCCCAAGCGTAGACTCCTTGGGAATATTCTGAATTCACAGTTGGTAGATAGTGCTGGCATTGCACATTCCTCTCAAACTGAAAGAGCTAATAAAATCGCTCAGGAATGCGATCGGTTAGTAGTTTAATCACAGTATGGTGAGAATGATGAAAAAAGAAGGTAGGCACATCTTTTTAGTGTGTTAGTGAGTTCAAGTGAAAGTGTATAATGTATACTGTTATTTATGTGCTTCTGGCAACAAATATTACATTACATACACCAACGCCTTGATAATTTTCTTGGCACAAATCATCCCACGCTCAGCAGGAACACAGTGCTGCTCACAGGGGAAAACAATCTAGCCATAAGCGGGAGACTGATATCTCGAACATGTCCACTCATATTCCTTCGGCTAGCAAATCACTTATTAGTCACCGCTTGGAAAAGTACAACTTCACAGTTTCATTGTCATCCACCTGTGCTTTGAGCCACAGGAAGAGCTCTCACACACAGATGTAATTGATGAGAACTCAAAGGTACCTTGAGGTATTTCTCAGTTAAGAGGCTCTCAGGTAAATGTTACAGGTGTCATATTACATTTCAGTGCTGTGAGATCTGTAATCTTATGCAATGCTCTTTCAGTGTCAAATACAGAAGGGTGCGCGG